TTTGCCTGGATGGTACCTGTCCACTATGCCACAGGAAAGTCGTAGCAGGGCTGGGCTTTATGAATGAAACAGAAGTATTTACCATAAAACCTTCACTTTGTGTTCATGCATTACATTTGTTTTTGGGTTAGGCTGGTGAAACACTTGATTAAAGGGGTACTCCAGTGACCGCATGTTGTAATTCCATAAGGTGAGAGGATTCACAAGAGGCTGAGTAAAAGTAGAACGATCAAAATCAGAACAGCAGAGGCCGAGAAATCCTGACTTTTAGCTGAAAAATGCCAGATACGACATTTCCCATAATGCATCAAATTGCAGCATCTAAAACTAGCATCTTTCATTACAGCAAAATGTTTCTTTTTTTTCCAGTTCTTAACCTCAAGCTCAGATAACTCCGACGACATCATGGTTAAAATCAGTAGAGTCTATTTTTCAGGTAATATTTTTTTCTAAATCAAGTACAAAATGTGTTTAAAATTGCGCTTTAATTCTGTGTTGACTTTTTCCATATGTAATTACCACTAGCATTGCCTGAACTTTAAAACCAAGTGCTTTGAGCCTGAACAAAACCAGCTTTACACAAGGAAAACAAATGCAAATGAATGGACATTGAGCAGATCCCTTCATTTTCCGGCAAACCTACTGTATGTATAAATGCAGATTAGTTGTATGTGGACGTTGTCATTTAAGGAAAAGGATTGTCTGCTGACATTTCCATTGTTTGCACTTGTGCTGCTATCAAAGCCCACTGAATAGAATAAATGTACTGAGCACATTCATGCTCCACAGAGGCTGAACCCCCAAACACCACTCTCACCCCCAAATTATAAATGTACACAAAATAAGCTACAATTTAATATACAAATTGCAATGACATTTGTATGGCACACTCATGGTCCTCAGATGAACCTCATGGTTTTAGTTACCCCTTGCATTTAAACTCAAACCACTTGAAAGGATCTAGCAGAACGATTGATATGTTGTTGGTTTCAATATCATATATAGAAACTGTGGGATATGACAAGCAACACAGACTGAAGGGGACACTAACCAGGCTTTAGAATTTTAGAGTTGTACACAAATAACATTGGAAACTGAATACATGTTTGGGAAGATACTCACTTTAAAACCAGTATTATTCTGCTGCACTTTTTGAGAGCCCTTACATCGTGGCTCCAGACTACTACAGCAGTGACACCCTGACACACTTTCAGAGCAACACATTTCTTTGGAAATTGGCCTCATGAGTTGAGAATGCCACAGAGAGCCGCTAACCCATTCCTAAGGCATCTAGAGGGGTTACAAGTCTGTGATGATATGTTTGTCTTATCAGTCCAAACCATACATGGGGTTTTGAGTGTGTCTTCCTGGCTAACTGAAAGAGGAGCAACTTCCAGTGAAACAACCAATGCTTTCTGTAAATGCCAAAAGAAATGCAGTTTTCTGATGTGTTTTTTTCTTTTAAACGAGCACATCCTGTCCTAGTTGTTACATGCATTCTTTCACTGATTATTTCTGTAGCTGAATGCTGACTTCTTTTTGTTACAAACAGCCAACATGATGCCAGAAGCAGCTTATTCTTACTAAATCTCTCTACCTGGATCTGATGGAGCTGCTCTATTTGGCTCCATAGACCTGCTTTCTCTGATCTGAATTCTTTTTTCTAAGTTTATTTAGATGGGCTAAAGAATAGACTATTTTCTATTAATGTTACCATGAAACATATTTGCAGGAAAATGCCAAGTTCGTGTCAACTTTTTTTGTACCATATGGCAAAAGCATGGACAGATAATTGCGAAAATAATCCATCCATTCACATTGTGGGCCTACTGTGTTACACTGCAAAAGCAAAACATGCTTAACAAATAGTCAAAGAGTGGGTCCAACAAAAATAAGAAGATTGAAAAATCCGCAAAACATGACAAACAACTTGTAACAAAGAGAGAGAAAACACATGCTGAACTAAATGAGCAAAATACAAAAAAAAAAAAACCTTAAGAAATTCAAACAATTGTGTATATTATTGAGCCTGGAAGCATCTGGGCAGCCAGTTAAACCACAGCAGGGTGGAAGGAGCAACAGGTCACAAGCTAAAGGCCCTGTTACATCAAAAAACCAAATAACAAATTTAATGCAAAAGTATTTAAGAAATAGGTAGTGCGACTTGGTGACATAAGGACAGCTGATTGCAGGGACAAGTGACGTGCTAAAACCAAAAAAATTGATAAGCTAACAGCTAGCATGCTAGCTAGGTTTTGATCTAAGTAATTGTGTATCATGTCATTGACTAAAAAGCTATTTAAGACAGAGTTAATGAAAGGCCATGAGCCACAATATTAACACCACTGACAAACTAAGTAAATAACATCGATCATCTTGGTACAACGCCATGTTACTTCAATCTAAATATTCGGCCATTTGCCACTGCAAGAACTCGCACGTTATTTTAGGACAGCCCAAAACTTGCATGTTCTGACAGCAAAGAATTGCTCTTGTAGAGCACCTTTTTCTGCCCTCTTGTCCTTGACAAGTAGAAGTCTCCTCTCAACCATTGCCTTCAACAGAGTCAAATTTGTCACATAGACAAACATAACAAACCCTCAGTTTTGGATTAGGAGGCTGTCCCTGTAAATGTCCATGACACCTCAGAAGTCCTGTGTCCACACTCCTACGGTTTAAAGCTGTTTTGAGGGGAATGTGCACAACATTAGGCAGGTGGCTCTAATGTTATGGTTGATCAGTGTTCATAAGATGTTTATTCAAAGCATGAAATTTCTATTGATTGCTCACTCATTACTGATTAATAACCTGATATGTTTTTCGTCAAACATAGCAGATTGAATATAAATGGCTGTTGCAACACAACTAGTGTGCTACCATATTTTTTCCATTTTGTGCTCCAAAGCTCTCAAAGGTCAGCACTGCTAAACAGGTTTATTAAAATTTCAGTGTCAATATTTACCAGAGTCGAATCATATGAAAAAGATTTATGCACATTTACTCTGCCCCCTTTGATAGATTTTGCTGCAAAATATTTTTTGGATTGAACCCAGCAATAACATAATCATCTCTGCAAACCACAACATGGACCTTGCTCACCAACATCTTCTGTACTACCGCTGTTGTAACATCTCTAGTGTCCAGAGTCATGGATTTCCTTTAAAAAAAATCTTAGCCTAATTTTAAATAATGACAAAGTCCAGAAAAGTAAACATGACGAGCACACTCAACACTCTGCTCCTCTGATTTTCTGTACAATAGAACAACAATCCGCTCTAAGCAGAGGTGATTTGTAATTTGGTCCAATGGGCGCACCCTCTCTACTCTCACATCACCCACCAACACACAAGGTGGATGGCAAATTAAAAGCTGACCAAGGATGGGAAGAATCATGGCCTCTGAGCTGTGCAGGAAGTATTGAATTTTCAACTCAAAAAAATGGAGAAGGACATTAAATAGAAACAAGTAGGGAGTTAAAAAGCACTAAAACATGGATAAGAAACTCAGAGCAGCAGTGTGGTATGAGATGCGCAATATTCAAGATTTATCAAGACAGCAGGGACACATTAGGAAACTTTTGACTAAGCTTTGGCAGCAAATGGCATAAGCAGCATATTAAAATGTGAGCTTGTTTCTAAAATATGACAGGATGCACTTACAAAACAGTGGAAAAATACAAATAAGTCAATAATCTAAGCCTGCCTCCACTATAAAATGTTCTCTCTGCAGATGGAGGTGAATTAAGGCCACTATTGGAGAATTTAAAATAATCCACACTCACGGGAAAAGCAAAGCAAAACACATCTATACAATATTGGTAAACAAGAAAACAAATCTGACGGGTGAAAAACAGACAGTGACGGGATTCTTACAACCCCGCCCGTCACAGTTATGGATTAGCACAACCTCTGCTGTTCTGTACACAATAGGTGATATAAATATGTTTTTTTTTCCAGCAGACAGGATTACATGTAGTGTGCACAAGAAGCAGGCTGAGAGTCAAATAGTGCACGGCTGTGGATGGAGCTATGAATCTACCTCGACTGTTTTACTTTTGTTCATTTACGAGTAAACTTTTTTTTTAGGTTCCTATCTTGGACAAACCTCGCCGTTAGCTGACCTTTCACAAGACAAATCATGTAAAAATGGTGCGTCCCGTTCCTTCACTGTAGCGTATCAAAGTTCATCATCAAGGCAGGTGCAGTACTTTTCACATAATTTGCCGATACAATCATTCTCTGAGGCAGAGCTGCACTGAAGACAGAAATAACCTCACTGGTTGATACAAACTGCAGTTAAGAAACCACAGCTTTTAACCAAAGTTTCCATTCCACACATACGGTTTAGAATTATCATGATTAAATAGGCGCATTTGCTGGAGTTTTTCGATGTTATCAGTTGGTCACGCAGAGTCACGCTTGTATCTTTTTGCCACATTAGCCCACATTTAAAGGAGATCGTGCGTGTTTATGTAGCGTCATTGTGATGCATGCTAATTTTTTCCATTTTTAATTTTTATTTTATACTTGCTGTTGATTTAATTTAGGTTCCGTCAGCACAGCCTTGAGTATCATTAACTTAAACACAGAATAACTCAGGTAAAAGAGGAGGTAGCTATTTTCGATGTTATTAAGAATTCTAGTTCTCTTGCTAGTTACATAAAAACACAACTCAGTTACAACCAATTTGGTGCTCATCCGACTGACGAAGGATTATAAGTCATCATTGAAACCATCTGTTCAAACTTTGAAAGTTTAAAGTATCTTGTATCTCGGTAAGTTAAACTGTTAGCCTGATGACCGTCTTTGGTCCTAAAATTCCATGATCAAGAATCAATGCACTGCCTGTTTCAGTTCAACTCAACTAATGAGGTTCATCTGCCTCCAGTGCAGATATTTTCACACACTCTGTCATAAAAGAGTCAACAGTGATACAGTAAATCTCTTCCTCAAAACACTTGGGCGTAAGTCAAAAGCAGCCTCTCCCACGCGTCCCTGTCCTCAGACGTTGGGTCCTTTGCTGTAATGTTCCCTGAGGTTGTAGGTCTGGTAACACATGGAGACATCACACACTCCCGGAAGCCCCGGGTTGCCCCGTTTACCGGGATCTCCTGGTGGTCCTGGTTTTCCTGGAATTCCCTGGTTGCCCGGATGGCCGATTCCATCAAAGCCGCGGGGACCTTGAATCCCTATGGTGACACAGAAAGGGAAAATAGAAAGAACTCAGCAATAACACTGTCACTGGTATTCTGCCTTATTTACTGGAAGAAAGATCCATTTAATAAGACCACAGTTCTTAGGTAGCTACAAAATAAAGCAAATGCTGGATCACAAATAACATCCGCTCTCACTGTGTACGTATGATGAGATATTAGACCAACTCGCCCTCATGCCAGCTGCCACTAGACGTAAGCACTGAAATTTAAATTCAAACCAGGTCAAGCCACATTTGCATTAAAAATGTAAGACTACAAACAGCTTTCATGCATTTTTGTTAAAAGTGCACTCACGCATTGATCTGAAATGTCAGAACATCATGGTTAGTTTGCTGAAATAGTTGCAACTCCTCAAAATGGCTTAATGAGTGAAGACATCTCACAGAACAGGCGGACGGGTAGGCTGTCTACTATTTGTACCTGGCTGTCCGGGTGGTCCTGGAGGTCCGTGGTAACCCTCCCCTTTGCTTCCTTTGAGTCCTCTTGTTCCCACGTCACCTGTGGACGTAATATATCTGGGTTAAAATACAGCAATAGACTGTGAATCCTTATGCTTCACAGACTGGTCACTGTGTACACAAACTGTTTAATACAAATTTATGTTAGACAGTGGCAGCATGTGGTAATGGAGTCATGAAGTCATACATGTTCAAACCAAAAATGGATTCTTAAGAATGACTGTAGATTGAGGAATACAGAAAGTCTCACCTTGCAAGTTTACAGGATTACTTCTCGAAGTTTCTAAAACCACAGAAGTCTGAATTTGTGTTTTTGAGACTGTCATCGTTACACTGCAGCTACAATGTGATCGTGCTTGCAGCATATACATAACACCAACAAGGAAAAAAGAAAGAACTTAATTGGAGCTTTTGTTTTCAGTCAGATCATCGAGGACTGTGCTACAGAAAGTCTGAAGTTCAGTAATAAATAAGTTCAGTTTACTCAAAAGATGTTTTTAAACCAGCAATTCCTGTCTTAATACAGTCTGCAAACCACAGCTGTTCAGTGGAACAGGTTTTAGTCTCAAAAAGGGACCTAAATCAAAGTGAATGATGTTACACAGCTAATAATCTACCAAGACTGTCAAGACAGCTTGCTGTTGGTCAGTGTCAACACTGAGCACAAATAAATCTGGCCTCCTTCAGCAGGTTCTGTTAAGCCTTTCCACCCTGGAGGTCCTGAAAACAGCACCAGGCCATAAAATGGCCACCTACTACTGCCATTGTAAAAAGATAGACAAGCGTGGCACATTTGGTGAAGAAACCACCTTGAGCTACTAGAGTTAAAGTCTGGTCTGTCCAGGTCGGGTTACTGTTAAACCCAACTTTACAATCCCATCGTCCTTCTGGCATCACAACATGAACCATCAGATGAATTATTAGTTTTGTATTGATGGATCTGTGAGTCTTTGCTTTGTACAGTGGTGCCGTATACGAAGTGCCAGCAAACATTGTCAATGCTTATTTATTTAATTTTACTGGGTATAATGTTCACACAGTTAGTTCAGTGTGTTAACGTGCTAATATTCATTAAGCAACACCAAATACAAAGTGTAACTGAGGATAATGGAGATCTCTAATTTTTGGCAATCAGTTAATAGCTGTTGAGATATTTTACTAAAAAACAAAACCTCATTCTGGCACCAACTGAAAAGGTAGTGAATCACCACAGTCAGAAAGATTCAGTCACAAGAAAAGAAGAGCATCTGCATTGAATTTCATAGTAATCTAAACAATATTTATGAGATATTTTAGTGTAGACCAAAGTAGTGGACTGACAGACCAGCCACTGCCATTACTGTGACTGTATGTAGCTGTCAGTAGGATGCAGTTAGTGTAGCACCATTCCTCAACATCTGAAATGTTTCAATAATAAATGCTAAACAGCGTCTGTTCTCTGAATCATATAGAGCCAAACAAAATGAAAACAAATTATATTAACATGTACACAGACATCTGGACTGGTAATAAACTGCAAAGTATGAGATTTAAGCACTTTGAAGTTGTGTATCTCAGCTGCATTTGCTCGGTGGAAATAGCAAAAGACAGCAGTTATCAGAACTGAAATATTCTCTCACAAACTTTCTCTCACAAGTTCTCCAATGATTTAGTTCTGTACAACCATAAAGTTGTGAGACTGATTAAATGGAGAAAATCAATGTAGCAGAGGCTACCGCGTCCTCAGTGCTGGTCACTGGTGTCGCTTCAGATGATCCAAAATGTTGGATCTTGATAGTGTCTTTCATCAGACCCTCCATGCCTGGAACCTTTCCACATCCTTCAAACTCTATACTCTCAGTTTGTAAAGCAGGCTTTAAATAACCCTGATAATGTCATAGTGAGGCCATCTGGATTTCTCAGACTTAAGTGCCTCCAACGGAAACAGAAGACATTACAGAACAGGATTTCACTGCCTGAGTAGTCCTCTACATGACAACAACAGCGATCTTGATGCATAAAAACTTTCGGCTGATCCTTTAATTTTGCACCCAGTTTCATCTAGTTAGCCAGCAATTATTGACACTAGCGCAATTACCTTTACATAAATTTTGGAATGCAGGCATCCATAAAATTACATCCAGTACATACATTAATCAGTTCTCTTCCCTCAATGTTTTCAACTGGCTTCACACCTCTAAAGCTGCTGCTCTTCTGACCCAACAAGTAAAAACCCTACGCAGCAGTGGAGTGGAATCTTCCACAGCTGATTAGCCACTCTCAGTCTTGAAGTGGTGATAAATCACAGACAGCTCATTGGGATGGGTTTGCAGTGTTTGTTGTCTTTTGCTCGGCTGACTTTCACTGATGTTCACTTGTTTAATGATCTTGTTTTATGGGGTACAGTGAACATCAACACATCCAATTTGTTAGTCGTTGACACTGTTTTGATTTTAATCGCTGATGAAGGCAGCAGTAAATTTTGTCCTAGCTCTTGCTCATGATGATGTGTTTTTATTTATTGCCTTGTTTTCATCGGGCTAAAGAGCCAGATTGGAAGATTTTGTGGGCCAGACGCTGTGGTCTTAAGAGGGAGCATGGCCTACAGATAACATAAAAATGTGCTAAAGGAGTGGATTATTCCCATAAAGGCATTTTTTTTTGTCATATCAAACCTTTGAGGCCTGTGGGACCCTGCATTCCAGGAGGTCCTGGGTAACCGGGAGCACCACTTCTGCCAGGGTAGCCTGGGGTTCCCATGGAGCCTTTGGGTCCTGGTAATCCTGGCTCACCTGGGGGTCCCTTCACACTCTGGCAGGGTTCACATCTAGATGGAGGAGCCAGGGACTGGAGGAGTGCTGGGAGTTGGTCTGCAGGGCACAGCCAGAAGATGCTGAGTATACGATTGGTATAATAAATATTATAGCAAAACTGCTTCCACAAGGGACTGTAAAGCCATATATATGTCTGTGTAAGTGTGTACCCTGTAAATGTGTCGTCATGGGAATTTATAGTTCGATTTTGTTTTTCACAGCAGGTGCAGTGTGAAATATTCAGGATTTCTCTGTTTCTCCTGTTAGGTGGTGCCACATTGGAAACAGTTTGCAACATAGTCATTAGATGCTTTCTGTTCAGTTAATGGGCTGCAGGGTGGCGCAGTTGGTAGCACTGTTGCCTCGCAGCAAGAAGGTCGTCGGTTCGCGTCCCGGTGGGGGCACCGGAATCTTTCTGTGTGGAGTTTGCATGTTCTCCAAGGGCAGCGTGGGTTCTCTCCGGGTTCTCCGGCTTCCTCCCACACAGTCCGAAAACATGTTGAGGTTAATTGGTGATTCTAAATTGTCCGTAGGTGAGAATTTGAGTGTGCTTGGTTGTCTGTGTAAGTGTAGCCCTGTGATAGACTGGCGACCTGTCCAGGGTGTCCCCTGCCTTCGCCCTAAGTCGGCTGGGATAAGCTCCAGCCCCCCCTGCGACCCTAGTGAGGATTAAGCGGTGTATAGATGATGGATGGATGTTAAGTTAATTGGAATAATTGCTCCCTCCCACCTGTTCTCCTTTATCCTCCAGTCAGTGACATATCATGAAGATTATCAGAGCTACACCAATAAAATGGTCAATAAATTAGTTCATATTCAACTGACAGCAGCTACCGGCAAGTTTATTCATGTGGTCATGTTTTGTAACTTTGTCTTTCTTTTCCTTTTTCAGTAAAGACCTTACGTTATTTCACCGAAGTGATCTTTGCCCATTCAGGGACAGTGAGAGGTCCACACTAGTATTTATCACCCACAGCTGCATAGTAGCTGATATAACCAGTCTTGGAATGTCCAGTGTGAGACAGTTGACACAGTGACTGTCTCACGCCTCCTCTAAGCCTCCACAAAGCAATTATAGATCATCATTTCCTGTTATTGTTATTTCCTCACAGTCACAGTGGTGAGGGTGACAAGACATTGGTAATCTGTGGTGCAGCAATAGACATTGCATTGTTTCTTGCTGAAAATAAGATCTGTGTTGTACTTCGTGATTTTAAAAAAGAGGAGGTGATGTCTTTCCAGCAAAATTTAGTATAGATATGAGGTAAAAAGCTGTTTTTAGATCTGAGCAAAAGACAAAGCTGATTTTTTATAGCTAAATAAAAGACAAACGTAGAGATATGATTAGGAAGTTTGAGTAAGCGTGGAAATGAAGCTAAAATGTGATGTGGAAAAGTTAACCAAAAAGACATAATGTAATTAAATAATATAATAATATGTAAAATGTATGAATATACTGAACAAACCTGTATAAAAATCCAACTCAGTAGAAATCTGCTGAAGCCTGAGACCTGTTGGCAGGCCGGGATGCAGCAGGCCTGACGCACATGCTATCTGATTAGTTTCGAAGAAAATGGGTTGGGTTTTTCGGGGGAAAGAGAGGAGTTGGCAAACGTAGATAAGGTCATGTAACGTATTGTTAGCTAGCAATTTTGTTCGCACAGCCTCTGTATCGAATAAACATTATTTACATCAGACTCTGAAGACTTTTTCCATCTTGTATCTCTTGTTTTTGAGGACCCGAAGTATTAAGATAAGGATCGTTACATCGGTTATATGCTGTAACGACGCTGCCTGATCATCACTGGCCCGTAGCAGGCAGGCCGAGTCACGACAAAGCAAATACTCTGATGTTACTGTGGACTCTAAGTTCTAAAAACCAAGTTAAGCTAGTTGTTGCATAAGCAAACTTTAATTTATGCAATTTTAGATTTACTAGAAAATACCTGGCATCTAGTTGCTGGGACTTACTTTATGCAATAATTAGGCCTGTATCTGTATAGAAACAAACTCTCAGTCCTGGACAATAATCTGAAAAGCTTTTATGGCTGTCATACATTGTCTGGGAAAAGCTTGTTAAACTCCATAATGCTTGTTTAATGTATAAACCCATTTGATGGACCAGCACCTCCCCTATTTCATAAAAATGTTGAGGACAGATTACCATAATCCAGAATAAGATCAACATTATTGACACTGAGCTTCCCAGTTGTGGGATATTCTTTCATCAAAGATTCAATCCAGTTACTGGTCTTTGGTTAAAAAGCAACCACACCTGCCATCACAGTCAGTCACTGTATGCTTACATTGTCTACTCGAATAAGACTTTTGTCTGTCTGCGATTGTAAAGAGATTTTTTTGATTTTATACTGTAAGTGACTGTGTGTCTATCAACACTCGCTCGTCAAATTTTTTGCTTGTTTTTGTCTGATTCCTCCTTCATTGCCTTTAAAGGTAATTTTCACTTAACATCTAGCCAAGGGATGAAGAACATTGAACATCGGTGGACCAAGTGCATTGATGTTAAAGGGACGCTGTGTTGAAAAATAAAGCAAGAACTATCCTTCTGTGACATTCTTTGGTGAAGCCTTCTGAAGTGTCCTCGTAGGTGTGATACTTTAGTGCAGGCGTCTCAAACTCACAGGCCAACTGAGGCCCGCGGGATGATATTTTGTGGCCCCCTACTTGACATCAAAGTTCAGTGTTAGTGCGGCCTGCGCATTTCTCTCACACCCACCTACGCGAGTCGTTGCCCTGGGCATTTTATATTTTTTATCACTTGTGGGCTATCATAGCTCAGGCTCGTGACAGCAACGCGAATTAGCAACGTTAGTCACTTGAAACGTGATTTGGGGCTGGCACAGAGTGGAGGGAAAATATATCCTGTCACCCAGTACAAATGCTTTCTTTTTTTTAACTTTTTTCTATCTGTGTGAAAAGCTCTCCTCCACCGTGAGCTTTAATAAGTCAAAGTACAGGTCCAAACTTACTGATGAGCATCTTCAAGCCATACTGAGGGTCTCAGTTGCCTTCTCCCTCAAGCCAAATGTGGCTCAGCTGTGTAAGAGGAAGCGCTGCCTGGAGTAGGTAAGAGAAACCAATGTTCTGAAGAACCTTTCCTGTTCAGAATTGTTATTAATATAGATTGACAAGATTGGATCAGATGTACTTTTTTTTTTTTGAATAATTGAAACCCTTTTTTGTGGAATACAGCCTCACCCAGACTTTATCTCCAGCGGCCTCCAGGTAAGTTGAGTTTGAGACCCCTGCTTTAGTGGCACACTGTATAAACAGTCAAATACTTGCTGGGAAATAGTCGAACCTTAATTAAAGAACCTGCTAGCCTCATATAATATAATCGCTTATTGCTGTATTTCACATAAATTTATAAGGTGACTCCAGTGCAGGGCACAGGCAGCCAAAATCTAATCATAAAAATAGGTTTGAAACATGTTAATTATTTCTATACGTACCTATAGTCTGGGTTAAAAAGAAGCCATGATGATATGCAGTTTCATTAAAAGAACTATGCTGAAGTGAACAAGAATAACACAGTCACACTGTGACTGAGAGTAAATATAATTCTTCTGTTTTTGCTTTGGTATAAAGGCTAAAAACAGGAGGTGGTTGATTATTTTCATTCAGTGAAGGTAAATAACAAAAACTATCCATTATGTTTTGTGAAATTTAGCATTACGCCACGCTTTTGCAGACAGCATAATCACTTAAATAGTCCAGCAGATTGAGCTGATTGATGCCACTTAGCTATAATCACTGTAAATGGCTTTAAGGTATTGTGCAAAATGTGTAAGTCTGTGTTTGAGACAACAGTCTCAGGCAGCTTTCACACTCTGGTTCACAGCAGAGTGACATAAAAACAAACATATACTTACTACGCAGAACATCGGTGCAGAGCTTTAGAAGATGTTCATCTGAGGGAGGCTTGCCCTGGAACACACAATTACACTTTGATTCAGTTGAATCCACGCTGGGACTGGGAAAACAGGCTCAACCTGTGATTAAGTATGCCTACAGATTTACAGGATCTTCTCAATGCTCCATTCTCCATCTTCATGTCACCCACACACGAAGACAGCTGTGACGCCATTACTGCCAAACACAACTCCCCCACTACAGGCATGGAGTCACTGACTGTATGATTCAGCACATTTTTCTTTCTTTTTTTTAAGCATTCGTTAGAAGTAAGCGGTCAGGAGGTGGTTCACTTACAGGTTTTCCAGGATATCCTGGCTGGCCTGGTTGGCCTGGCAACCCATCCTGGCCAGGAAATCCCCTGGGACCAACAACACCCATGTGACCCATGTCACCCTTCTTTCCTTCAGGCCCCCTGTGGCCCTCATCACCTGTCACTCCTTTCTGAAACAGCAGGAGGGACAGCAGAAAATCTCATATTACAAAGAAAAAAAGGTGAAGTTGGGGTTTGTTTGCAGTAACTGACCAATTTATGGAACTGAATACCACCTTCAAACATTTCTAACAACTGTAACGGCATACAGGTCTGCCAAGCTTTGCTGTCGTTAGAAACACTGAGGAGTTACAAGGGTTAAATTATGCACAATATTGTTTTTCTTTGTTTTTGAACATATCCACGTCATCCTGTCTAAGGGACCACAAAATATGTGAATGGCCATGCCTTCGTTTTGTTCTCTTCATCATACATCAGGAAGTGTCTCTCCGAATGAGCCATTTAGGTTCACAGTCTGTTGTAGGATCACAGCAGGACAAGCACCAACACTGAGCGGCTCCTCCTCCTCTCTGCCCCTCATTGACCCAGTCCCAGTCTCCACACTCATGGACTCTCTGACTTTCAGGCCCATTTCTTCTAAGTGTGTGAGGGCTTACAGCTGTCCCACTGTCAAACTGTCAAGTGCATGGCGACTCTAAAACAACTTTTCAAGGACTTTTCAGCACTTGTAAAACAAAATACCTGTCCATAGCTCATAGCAGAACTAGTGACTTATGTGTGTGGTTGTCCTGTCCACCACAAAATGTAGACAAACTAAACATGAATGGGGCAGGCAGGAAAGGAGCAGCAAATCAAATCGAAACTGAAATACGAGTCTAAACTCACTTTTTTTTAATTTCATGACCATGCAATGTTTGCAAATAACGTGTAATGTTACGACAGTGCGTCCAATTTCTTATTTTATACCATTTCTAGTTCGCACAGCCTCACACGCTCAAACACTGCAGCTGTGACATCAGTAAAGCCTGTGAGGGTTTAGTGCCTGGTTTTTATGGTGGAGTTTGGGATTGGGCCACTGAACAGAGTAGATGCAGAAATATGTGTGCCGCAGTCTTATCCCGAAAAAGGATGTGGGCAGCAGCGGCTCAGTTGAATTTATAACTACAGACAGTGAATCAGCCTGTTTGGAGCAGGGCTAAAACCAGGGCTATTATATGCATGATAGAATTAATGATCCATGCAGGAATATGAGCTGAAAGTTGAAATACACAATCTGGGAACATGTGAGACTTACATTAACTTGTTAAAAGGAGTATAATATAAGAACCTTAAAGAGTTTTAAAATTCATGTCTTATTCTCTCGTTCTGAAACTAATGCCGAAAGATAAAACCTGCGAGAAACGGATGAAACAGTGTCTTTGTGTGACCAAACATAATCTGCAACCCTCAGCATGTCCAGCTAATAACCTGCTGCCTAAACTATCTCTTTGTTATTACCAAAGCCAATAACCATAAATCATTAGTTCGGGGTCTAATGGCCGACCAATTATTAAGTGGAAAGGCTAATTTTAAAACAATGGTCTCAGCAAAGTTGCCAATTGAATAGTCAATTAATGAACGCAGAGCAGCAGACATTATTCCATATGTAGATCTTTTAAACAAGGACACATGACGTTTGCAGCACATTAGACAATCGGACTCCCTCCAGAACTTCAAATCACAGCTCAAGACCCAGCTGATCAAACTGGCTTTTCCTCCTTGACCACACTATCACACTTTAATACTTCATCTCTTCTATCCACTGTGTTTCCGTTGGTATGTTTTTTGTAAAGCATCTCTGAGTTTTTTTAAAAGCGCTATATAAAACGTATGTATTTGTAAAGTCTGGCTGGAAGTCATTAACTACCACACAAGTCTTTGTCATGGTGACCTGTTACCAGCTAAATCTACACAACAATCTCTGCTGTGAACATGAAACTACATGTAGTCCAAGAAAAGGCCTCCTCACATCACACTGACAGTATCAAGCTGCAGTCTCACATCGTACTAAACATGAAGAGGCTCAGTACCACAGCCACATTTTCTGACATCAGCATTAGTTCATATATGTTTAATCAGTTTAATTATTGATCATTGATCATTATCATTCCTAGTTTGGGGTCATGCTAACAAAGCATTGTACACAACTACCTCCTGTGTGTGGTATTTGTCCTGCATGTGACAGTTGGTTCTGGATACTAAAGGCTTTAGGTTAAAGCAGCTCTTCCTGCTTTTACTGGGGTTTGAGGAAGTTTGGACACCATCCAGTGTTAGCCAAGACAACATTGCCAGAGACATCAGTTATTTTTCATTCTAGAACTTTTTCTACATAAAAATATGTAAGTATGTCAGCTGAGCAGCAAAAGCTTGATCCACACAAACCAGTACACATGTACGTGTGGCTTTTTACCTCAGTCTTCTACAGTCATTATGGCATGGATGTTCATAAACTGCATATTTAACATTGACATTTTCACAATATTCTCTTTTTGAAACAAATTGAAAGCGCTAAGCTGTCAGCAGAAGACAGCATGTTGAAGCAACTCACAGTTAGCTTATTAAGTCATTTCAGTTCATGAAATCAACAGTGTTTGGTTTGAAAAGAGAAGCCAGTTTTTGTAAACCTCTTCCTCAAATTAGCATCATGTTGTTTTAGATAATTACAAAAAAAAATTCTGATTTGCGATTTGATGTCAAACTGTATACGCATGAATGGAACACTTAGCAACCAGTCAATTAGGACTAAGTTTTCTACTCCTTCACTGCTTTTTAATAGTGATCAAAAAGCATGCTAAAACAGCGTCGACTTGTATTAAATGATTTTCTACAAATAGCAGCAACTTAGGGAAGCTGCATCTCCATAAATTGGGATTCTGCAGACAGTACAGTAAGTGTTTGATATTTCAGATGTGTGCGCCTTTAGAAAAGAGTGCTTTTGTGATGTATATTTTCGCCCGGGGGGCCAGATTTCCCCAGGCCTGAAGGTATTGGCTCTGTAAGTCTTCTATAGCAGCCGTGCAGGCTTGACAGGGCTTCTCACTGTGGTGCAGAATAAGACAGAATGGATTATATCTAATACCGCAAAGTCTAATTCGACAAACCTCTCCTTTCCTTCCCCTGGGTCCCACGTCGCCCTGACGGAAGAAAGAAAAGAGAGCGGGAAGGATGGGGAGGAAAAAAAAAAAAGAGGAGGGAGAAATAGAGAAAGACAGTTAGAAAGTTCTGCTACATATCAAAGGCTGAGACAGTATGTCAGAGGAGCTATGCTCACTGCTCTGCATTGCTGATGCAGAACCACTTTTTTTATATCAACCACTTTTTTTATATCAAAACTGGTGGCTTACAAAACACTTTAGATTGGTTATTGTAATGCATTCTCTCAAGCTTTTATCTTTTTCTACTTGTTGTAATGCGATTTTTTAAAAAAATGCATGTGTTAGTCCTTAAAAAACACCATTCAGTAGGAACCCCAATTCTGTAAGGCGTCATTGTAGATTTAAGCACTGTGATATATATCTGAGGCTCTGGGAGTGTTTCATTTTACATAAAAACCCTTCCTCATGTTGCTCCATACCTCCTCCTGTCTGTCATTGCCTGGTAAGGGATTTCTGCCATTCTAGTGCTGAAGGAAACAAATAAAGCAGATCTAGAGAGAATTCTGCTTTTAGGACATTTTGTCAGCGGTGACACAGGATATATCGTACCAGCAGGCATTTATTTAGGCGAAACTGAAACTGTGATCTGCCCAGCCAACATCTGCACTCACACTTACTACAGATGCAACAGGACACCTATAAATATGAAATGAAACTAACAAAACCTGCAGCCTTCTGCTACTGCTCTACACTCAAGAAGCATAACATTGCTGGTGTTCAGAAAAGTTCACGCAAGTGTCACCTGAGTTGCAGGAGCAGCACCCCCCTGCTCTTTTGATTTTCTCACATAACAGTATCTCTGAGTCACCGTTGACTGAACCCCTCAGAAAAGCTGATTATTTCAATCGAAGCCTTCCTAGTGTTCTGTTCCTTTAGTCGCTCTGTGAGACAATTTTACATTTAGAGACACAGAAAAGGCAAGAAACGGGGTAAACCTTTTTTTTTCCTCGATCGTTGAATTATGAGTCTTCACCGGGTGTATTTCAGCTTTTCAATTTTCAAGTTTTTCAATTTTCAAAATAATATTACATTTTGATGAACACAGCCAATGAGACTGACCTTCTAACAAGTTGTTTTACAATGTAAAAACTGCAACTAATTCTTATGGATGTAACCATTCCAGGTTTTTAAGCCCCAGAGACTTAAATTATCAGCATTAAATTGTCAGAAAATGTAAAAATCGGATTAAAAAAACCCAGCTTGTCTCTTATTTTCTAAAAACTTATCTGCATACTTCCCAGGATTCATTCCAGAAATCGTTTTATTTTTCTCAAATGGCAAAAAATTTAATCTGTCTACTTACTTACTAATCATGGTTTTCTCTCTAATTTGAATTAAAACTTTCCAAAGCACAATGTCTGCTTCTCATGCACTTCTTAAGTGTGGAAGAAGAAGAGTCCTACTGAAGAACAATGGTTCTGGATTTACAGTGACTCCATCAGTGCAGTGACAGCTGTCGAAAGGGAGGATTTTGACACAAATGTGGACAAATATGCTTCTGTACTTTGAAGAATATCGACAGAGGTAAATGTTTTAGTTGGAAAAGATCGAACATAAGATTTAATTTAAACTTACTCCAAATTTTACTCAGGTTTGTTGCCTTACACTTTAGACTTTTCGTAGACATTTCTTTTTTTTTTGACAGTGTGGGTTCTTCTAACTTAACGCCCACTGATTACATACTGAGCCGTGAAAGCTGTCTAAAGGCTTCCACAATGCTGCGTCTGAATGCTAGCAGTGTCAACAGTCATTTCCAAATATAATGCTAATATTTTTCTGTTGTTTAAAGTGAGAAACAGTTTTTTTGTTTTTGTTTTTGTCACAGCAGGCTGGAGGAGCACGTCAGTATCTGTGTCTCCGAGTTTAGCACAAATCATCGTGCACAAGAACCTCACTTTTGAGCTACATGTGAACGCCTCATTACTTCCTGGAAGAAGACAAGTGGTAGTCAGAGAACACTTTAAGTGGAACACACC